TTAATCTTGAATTCTCACGTGGCTGCTCGATTTCCATGTTCCTCTGCGTAGCTGATAGCCGTCAGTTTAAACTGTGCTTCATAGGCGTGTCTCTTTGCCACTTCCCCCTTTAACGTTCTCATGGCGTTCTCAACAACGTCCTCGGTAACAACACACATAGGGCGCGCCGCACATTTTGAGGGGAAAAAAAGACGTTTATATGCGCCTTATAGTCGTGAAAATACGGTAGTAGGAAGAAATTCTCCATAAAAAAATAAGAGAAAAGTCCTGTGACTCTGGAAACGATGAAACCCTGAGGTCAGTCATCCACAAGCTGGTCCATTCTATAGGTATGGCGATGCGCCATGATTACAGACATGTAGCGGAAAGCTGGTTTCCATCAGAACAAGGCGGCGGCGCTGGTGGTATAAAGCCCCAAAACACCAATAAACAGATGGATCATATCTCTAAACGAACCTGTTTCAACTCTTCTGAATTTATTATATGAAGCTTAATGTTTCAGGCCCCATTTAATTTTAGTTCCAGTGCAAAAATGCAAAATAGATCTTTATAATTTTACACCAGAAATGTTTTTTCTTCAATTCTTCAGATTTTTTTATGCTTTAAACCTAATCCCCAACCAGATCTGCAATCTCAGTCCAGGTGAACATCTAACCTTCTCCTCCAGAGTCCCTCAGCATGGTGTCGGCCACCACCACGATGGGCCTCCTGAGGACGTGAGCCAAGACGAAGACGTGAAACTCCTCCAAACTCTCATAAACAGGCTCTTCGGAGGACTCCGCCCTGGAGAGAACGGATACACGTGTTTATTCTGGAAATCAACCAGATGAGGGGAATCCTTCATGTTTCAGGACATAAAATAATCATAAACCAACGCCGTCTGCGGTAACCTGAGTGCCTCTATTGTCTGTTTATGCATCTCAGAGGACCCGTCAGTGACGAGGGGCTGACTTCTGAGCGCAGCTGTTTGTCCGTGGAAAACAAGCAGCGTGTGACTAAGTGTCGTGGGCAAACAGTCGATGCTTTGTTCGTGCCAGACCTTACCCGTTGGTGCCGTTGGTGCTGTAGTGGATTCTTGGCTCGCTGGAGGCCAGCTTCAACAGCTCGTTCCACTCTTTCTGCCACTCCTCCTCCGTGTAGACCAGTCCGGACTGGGGAGAAAGGAGGGGACACACACACACACACACAGGTTTGCTTTTTAGAGAGACGGTGTCAAATGTCACAGAAGCATGCACTGACGTTACTACGCCTCACCACAGGGCTGCAAACTGACAACAAGGTCTAGAGGCTCTGCTTAACGTTTGTGCTCCTCATTTAGTGGCACTAGGATTTCTCATGGGAAAGATCCACCAATCTGTTCCTGGGGGCCCCATAAAACTCTTTACATGTACAGTTAATACAACTATTCCTTATTTGTGCACATTATTTTATGTTTTTGATCAAAATCATTTAGTTAAAATGCCATCAGTTCCTTCAGTGTCCACCATATTGGATCAGTCCATTTGCTGCACATGTTCATGAAGTTGCAAACATACAGCATCAAACTATTTGAAAACAAACAATGCAACGAGCAGTGTTGCTAATTTAGCGCTTTAGTCGCTATATTTAGTGACTTTTCAGACCCCTCTAGCACTTTGATTTCAAAAAAGCGTCTAGCGCCAAATCTAGCTAAGTAAGTCTTTTTTTTTCTTAAGTGCTTTTTTGCAGGTTACTGAGACACTTTGCCAATGGAACAAGATAATTTGCATTTAAAATAAGGAAAAAAACAACTACTGTCTCTTATTTTTAGTGCATAATATCTAATTATCTTTTTTTAAGGGTTAAAAATGGCAGATCGTCTCATTTTCCTACTCAAATTAGGGGTAAATACATTTATTTTAAAACATTTTTACTCATTTTCAGAAGGTTTGCTGCTTACTGGGCCTCATTGTGAGCAAACTGCTGCCCCCTGCTGGGGGAATAACAGCTGAATAACACTGGATTCAGATCGGACAGCATTAAAACAATCAGAACGAACATTGGATATCTGAGGGAAACCAGATATCTGGTATCGATGCAGTCAGTGGGGATTTGCTAGGAAGTTCCTTGGGCCCCAAGTTCATGGAGACCCCATAAAACTCTGTTTACATGTATGGTTAATACAACTATTCCTTATTTGTGCACATTATTTATGTTTTTGATAAAAGTTCTTTGGCTAAAATGCCATCAGAACTCTGATAATATTAAGTTTTTTCTGCTACTGGAGACTTTGGCGACAACATCTAAAAGCAGCGAACTCTGCTCTCCAGAGCGAGTAGATTGGTAACCCCGCCTCCTGCTCTCCTCTATCTTGTCTGCTGTCATGATTCATGCAGCTATTATTTCATCCAAATGAAAAATGGAGAA